TGCTGAACGCTGCCACGAGCAATAGTCCCAAACCTCCGCAAAAGGCCTGCGGGCTTGGGTCGCTCTGTGTTTTGTGATGATCACGAGGTGTGCTGGTTTTAGTCAGGACAGAGTTAGTTTTCTTCACAGCAGCTGGCATGAGGCTGTTTTGGAGTAGTGTTGTTAGTATTACTAGTGTTGCTATTTTATTAATTTATATTCAATTATTAAATTGTTCTTATCTCAATCCATGAGATTCCTTGTGTTTTCTGCCGATTCTCCTCCTCCACGGAAGGGGGGATGGGATGAGGGAGTGGCTGTGTGGTACTGAATTGCTGACTGGGGTTAAACCATGACACTTGGTTAGGGTATTTTTAGTGGAAGACCTAGGGAAAGCACGTCTTCTGCAGAAGCTATCACAGAACACCAAGAGGGCAGTGAGGGGATGTCGAAATATCGTACCTGGCCAAGTGTCTCAATACCACCATACCCACAGGTGGAATGAGCCACAGGGCTCTGGTTTTGAAGTGCGTTTCCCTTAATTTCTTATTTTTGGTGTTGTTTTAAAACTTGATTGTATTTATAGGGAATAGGGAACAGAGGGGACCCTGGATCTGCAGCTCTTCTACAAAATTTGGGGAAGATATTATTTATGCTGAGACAACTTAATGAAACAGAGCAGAAATAAGTCAGGACAATGAAAGCTGAATGAAATACGGAGCCTTTCAATTCTGGGTCATATGTTTCAGCACATCCTCCAACCTGGTAGGACCATCCTCCATGGTCTAGGATGGGGTAGTGGCCTCTTTCTCATCAACTCCAGCCCAAAAATGCTGTCAGCAGCAAACAGAAGTTGTTGCAGCCTAGCATCCTTAATGGGATATAAGGGGATGGTAGTACCCTGCTTTTCTCCAGGCATCCAGCTCATATGCCTGAAATGTACTTTATTTTCCTTTCCACAGGGGCTATTTCACTCCAAGAGGGACTCCGGAAGACTCCCTGCTCATCCAGAGCAAACTGGCAAATGACCATGGCCTTACCTGATGACAAAATCTCGAAGCAGGGCAAATTCACAGTGAGTGAGGTTTTCCACTGAAAAGAAAACAAACAATCATTGTGTTTGATATTTTTCAACCACCCCTGTGAAGGTCATTGCTATGGGGCAGGTTCCAGGTGGGCAGAGCCTGCGTACTTCAGAAAGGACAGGCAGTTGGCTGAACACCACACTGAGGAGACACGTTTAGGGGTGCTGAGCAGCCACATGTGAATCCTCATTTGAAAACCAAGGCAGCCTCAGGAGCTCAGCTTCACAAACTGTGGCGTTCGGAGCAGCTCCAGCTTCTGCCAATTAGCGGCAGTGGTATCACATTGACCACGGCAGTTCCCTCCCAGCTGAGCTGTTTGAGAATTCTCCTCTTGCTTGGTTTAAAAAAGTTTCTTGCAAAAGGGATGGGAAGGTAGCCACAGGACATGGTATCTGGACCCTTGTCTATTACCAGGGCCTGCAAAAGTACTTTCAGCTCCCAGAAGCAAAGGGGTTTTTACCTTCAATGATGCCCCAAGGTGTTTTCCTGCCCAGGACTCTTTTGCCATTCACTTGGTACTCCTTGTCGCTGCCCACTACTGCGAAGGGCATGCTTTCCTGCTGGGGAGAGACGTGTGGAGAGACCTATTGAACCCACTCCAGGGAGCAGCACCATCACTGTTCCCCATCCACCTTTCCTCCTCTCAGCTCATCAAACACAAGGCTTTCTCCGAGGGAAGAGGTTCTCCAGAGCAACACTTCACTGGCTGTCCTCTCCACCCATCGGTGCTATCCCTAGCATTTTGGGACCTTGCTTTACAGGTGTCCTTGCACCTCTCGAGCTTAGTGGGTAGCTTGTAGCAGTGCCAAGGGCTCTGGAGCGGGGAGTAGAGTTTTTCTGCACCATCTCCCACATTTCTGAAGAGGGGGACGACCAGAGAGGTACCTTGGCGGAACCAGGAGAGGGTTTGTCAGCCCAGGGCTGCTTGTAGGGATAGTTTGCGGTGAGAGTTTTCTCACCAAGTTTGTAGTTCTTCACTAGAAGAAGGAGGGGACTCAAAATAATCCTCCCCAAGAAAACACATGAACATTCAACAAGTTGAATGGCTGAAACAGTTGTACTGAAGAAGGCCGGAAATGGGGTCAGGGGACAGCTTTCCGGGGAAGCAGGACAGTAGGTGAGGCTACTGGGGACCCAGATACCTCTACGCACAAAGAGAAACCACCTGTTTCCAGAGCACAGGGAGCAGGAGACCCTGCTATCCATAACGCTGTGCAGATGCTCAGAGATTTACTCTGCTTTATAGATGTCCCTGGGCCTGGAAGGGACCGCCATTACCACAGGAATGGAGATTAAAAAGCAGTTTATTTCTTAGGTATGAGGCTATCCAAACCTAGGGCAACGACGCTGAAGTGCAGAACAAAACGTGGTGCTCTTCTCAAAACCAGTAACAGTTTGGGGAAGAAGCAAAGCCCATCTGGTCTTCCCCAGAATGTGTGAAATTGCCAAATGGGAAATGATTAATTAAGCGGGGGAAGGTGGCACTTTCTGTTGGGGCTGTGACAGCGAGGGCAGTGGAAAGGGGAAGTGTCACGCTGCAACACTGGAGTTTCTTTAGGACTGACATGGAGGCCAATCTATTTTTTATTAATGGCCTGGCCACAGAAGTGATAAGTGGGATAATTAAAAGCACTAGCGTTGCAAGGCCAAGAGGTGTTGTCAGGACAAAGGCAGACTGGGTTATTATCTCAGAATATGTACTAAGTTTGAGGCACAGAGAGCATTTTTTTCCTGCTGCAATGCTGGAGCTGATAAGCAAGAAATGACTGAAGGAGGGAAAGGACCCCACGTGCTCGTCAGTCACAAGATGACCACGAGCCACCAGTGTGATGCAATTGTTTAAAAAGCGCATGTGGTCCATGAGATTAGCAGTTCAGATCTTAGAAGAGACAGGGGAGTATGGGGTACCAGCACCAGTGCTAGAAAATCCAATCAAACTGGAGCAAGCACAGAAAAATGTGACTAGGACCATGGACTACTGAGGAATGCTCATCCAAAGGAGCTTGTCTCCTTTAGCTGGCCAGGTGGTCAGCAACAGATAATGCCGTTCTCTAACTGCCTTGAGAGGTAGAGAGGACCACTGTGCAGGAGAACTGCTCGAGTCAGTGTTGGCACAAGAACACAGATACAATTCTAGGTACAACCTGGCCATGAACAAACACAGGCTGGAAATTAGGAGACACTTTCAGGAGGGAAGGAGGGGACAAGCCTTCTCTCAGGGGCGGGGGGAGCAAAGAACTGGAATGCTTTTCAGGTCGTTTGGTCAGTGGATGAGAGGGCTCATGGGGCAGTTGTTTGGGACAGAGGCTGGATATCAGCCACACACCAGGTCCCTTTGCTCCTTAACAGTGGCCAAACAGTGTATTCAGCAAGAGGAGGTGAAACACAGTCCTTCCTCACTCAGCCTCCATAGCATCCTGTAGCAAGGACAGGGACAAATTAACCTGGGAGGGAGGAATTACCATCTCTTACATCCATTGCATCTTTCCTTCAGGGATTGTGAACCACTTAAAACCTTTTAGTGACAGGTCTGGTTTACACTCGCTAAATATGACCAGCCCTCATCCCCCCCCCCGCCCCCTCTCCCACAATAAAATGTTTCCTACCCTGATTTTGTCGTTCTCTGTTTTATCCTCCAAGTCCTCATCAAATTCTTTCTGGGGGTAAAACTCGATCCCATTTACTTCCAGCTCTTTGCGCACCTGGGCAGAGAGACATTTTGGAGCACAAAGCAACCCAAACCTGAAGGGAAGGCAGGCAGGACGGTCGGGCAAACACACCTGGGACATCCTTCCCCACGGGCAGGGGCTGGAGGGATTGCCCCCAGGGAAGCGTGCAGTGAAGCAAGGACATGTGGCTGCAATGACATATCTTTCTTCCCCGAGCCCTGCTACTCACCTGGCTCTGCAGTTCCCGTGGCAGAGCGTATCAAGAGATGCCACAGGCATACACACCTTTCTTCCCCCTCTAACAGGTGCGCTCGGAGCCATAAACAGCTGCACCTTCAGGACAGACTCAGGACTTACCCACCAACCCAGTGCCCAGCATGCCCTAGGGACTGCACTGCCATCCCGGGAAGAAGGATACCACCCATTTCTCCCACCTCTGAGCCGGGGCAGGGAGGGATCCTGTGCAGGAGAGGAGATACTCACTCTTTGTTTGAATTCCGTCTTCTCCTCCAAGGTCATGGTGTCAGCCTTGGCAATAACAGGGATGATGTTCACCACCTTGCTGAGATGTTTCATGAACTCCAGGTCCAAAGGCCGCAGGCTGCAGCCCAAGAAGGAACAACACGGAAGGGGTCACTTCACCCTCCTCACCTGTTGTGCTACTGACTCTCCCAGCAGCAACGAAACCTCCCTTGTATGTACCCCGCTTGCTGCCACCATGCTCTCATCTCCTTCCCATCCATCCTGCCCTCTCCCAAAAACCACAGTGGTGTTTCTCCTGCCCTGGTTATCCTAGACTCTTCCAAGCCCCACAGCACCCAAAGTGAAGCCGAAGAGTGGCCAGCCCCGCAGGCAGGACCCCTGGGCCTGTGGCCGAGATGGAGCAGTGCAGGGTACGTCTGCTGCAGAGGCACCAAGGGCTTAATGGGGAAGGACGAGGGACTGCGTACGTACGAGTGACCCGTGGGGGAGATGAAGTAGAGGCAGCAGTGCACCCGCGTGTCTGGAATTCGTTTCTTCCTTGCAATATTCACCTCCTCTTTCAAAAATTTTTCATATTGCTCGTTGATGTACTTCTCAATAGGCTCCCAGCTGTTAAGGTGGGAGAGAGATGAATAGACAGGTACAAATCTCCTCATGTTCCTGCCTACAGTGTTCCCGGCTCTGACAGCAGCAAAGCAGGCTCAGGCATAAAAAAATACCCACCACAAGCATCTCGCCATCCGCAGAGATGTTGAAGAGTTTCTGTAACTGAGCATGGGAACAGGCACTTGCTCTGTAATGTGTGCATACCCCCGAGCGTGCGCACAGACCCATGGCGTTCACCATTCCATGTCCCCGTTACCCTAGTTTGCAGGCACTTTCCAGGCCAAGCAGATGAGAGTCGCTCCGCACACCACCTGAACTGCAGCCTGTTCTGGGACAGAAGGCCTCGACCATGTACAACTCACCAGTTCTCGTTGTTGATCTGGTCTCCAAACCCCGGCGTGTCGATCACTGTCAGCTTCATTTTGACACCACCTTCTTCAATGACTGGGGAAGAGATGGCAATCAATCACACACCTCCCTAGGGACCTGCTCCGTCCTGAAACAGGTCTCTGTGCCCTACAGGGGAACAAGAGCGCTCTGCCCTCATCACTGCCTGCAAGCATCACCAGGCCCGGCTGGGTCATGCCTCAACAGTTGTGACCCCCACTTTCATTTGTGACCCCAGATTTTGGTAATTTCTGCACCAAAGCTACCTTATACCACTCTGCCACAGGAAAATGGATTTGTGCTCGGCCTGTGGCCCAGACGTAGTACCTACCCTACACAACCTGTCCGCCCCTCCAACACATCATCCTGAACCTGAGATGATGCTCATTGCCCTGCACCACCATAGAAGCTGTGATGGTGCTCTGCCAGGAGGAGATGTGCTCTACCAGGCTTGGGAAGGGACCCGACAATGCAATTTGTAGCGACCATTAAGCGGCTGCAGGTGGGAATGACTTCCAGCAAGGCTTAATCCACACCTGCAGATTAATGCCCTGCAGGAGAAGTATCTACAACTTTTCCTACCCCTCACTTTTGGCTGTGGCACCAGTGGCATTGCTGTTTAGTAAAAGCCTTGGCTGGGTCTGAGGCCACCTAAAACCGGAACTTGTCCTTTAGCTTTCCCTAGAGAAAGGGCTGCCTAACACCAAAGAACTGCTTGCACACACTACTGGGATCTTCTGCAAGATTGTGCTGAAGCATCAGTATTGCCTCCACCCCAGCAGCCTGGCTCTTACCGTGCCCGATGGCTTTGATCTCCACCGTCTTGGGGATCTTCTCCTCCCGGTTCCAGCCTGAAGATTTGCGGCTCACCTGGGATTTGAAGAGGGTGTTCACCAACGTTGACTTTCCCAGTCCGCTCTGACCTGAGGATTGCAAAGAGGAAGCTCGTGACGTCTGCCACAGGCCAGCAATGACAGCAGGCCCCTGGGATGGAGCCAGGCTGGCAGGAGAGGAGGCTGGAGGTGTCCGCTTGCCTTGTGCAAGCTCTCCTTTCCCCTGGGAGCAAGCACTGTCTGCTCCCTCATGCCCTCCCTGCAGGGCTCGCTCTCCCCACCGGCCTCATGGGGCAGCCCCTGGTCACAGTTCCCAGTACCTCAGCTGGTCCCTGCCTACCTACAACCATGATGTTGAAGTCGAACCCCGTCTTCATGGTTTTCTTGCGCATCTGCTCGATGATGGTGTCAATGCCGATGTAGCCCAGCAAGTTGGCGTTAATGCCCATGGGTTTCATTGGTACGGCGGGTTTTTGTCGTGGCTCTGGGACCAGCTCAGACATAGCTGCTTCGTTTTTGCTCTCCACTGGCCCTGCACGAGGAGAAAAATTGAAGAATCATCACAGAGGTGTAATGATTTACACAGAGGTGTAACGATTTACACAGAGGTGTAACGAGGACCTCCCTGCTGCCTTGTCACAGGGCCTGAGGGCAACTTTTGAGTGTCCATTTCAGGGGCTGCTGAGCATGACTGAATGGTGGGGTTTTAGCAGTACGGCTTTCCATGGAGGAACATCTACTAGGGCTTCCAGCACCCTCTTCTGTGTATCACTCCAGATGAGGAGGTGGAGAAGTGGGGCTCATTGAGCATGGAACGTACTGATGGCCACCTCCAAACGGCAGGAGCAGACCCAGTGATGCTGGCTGTGCCCAAAGCTCTGTGTGTGCCTCCTCATTTTTGTCTCCTAATTATCAGGATCATCAGTGTTTTGCCCCTTCAAGTTTAGCATGATATTTGCGATGGAACGGACTTTGAAAAATTATCGTGTCTTAACTCCTGGCATTGAAACGGAGTTTGAGATTTAACCTGAGGCTCAGCCCTTGCCCGGGCAGCCTATGTTAATGCCCGTGCTGTGTGGGCTGAGCTCCTTAAAGAAAGGCAGTGGTGGAAGTGCAAAATATGGCCACAACCTCCACGCTTCCCTCCCGCCCGTAGGTAGATGCTTTTTGTCATGCTCAAGACTAATCATCCTGATCAATAAACCAATTATCAGCACCTTTCCCTCCTTGCCACCCCTCCTCGCTTCTTCCATGTAAAACACATGGCCGAAAAAAAAGGCCCTGCAGGATTTCTGGCCTCCCCAGCTGTTTTTCAGGTGATGGCACACAGTGCTTGGGACAGGCCTTGTCTGTTAGTCTCTTGTCTCATTAGTGAGCAGGTCCCACACGCTGGGAGGAAGCCGGAGGTTGGCAGAGGAGAGGGCACAGAAGAAAAGCTGTAATTGCTGGGGAAGGGAGGCGTGAGGGATGAATCGAGAAAGGAAGATGAAGGGGATGGGAATCAAATACCTTTCATATACAAACCAGCTGCAAACTAGAGCCTCTCCCACTCTAATTACTTGACTCCCCCATGCTTTGTCTCATTAGATGCTTATTTTTCCAGGACAGGACAGCGTGTGTTTTTGCTTGGTAAGCACTCTGCTTGTTTTGGATGCCACTTCGTTTCAAGTATCTCACACTAAATTATCCCTTTCCATCATTTCGGTGGAGTTTTTCGCTCCCCTCAGCAGAACCCGCCGGCTGCAGAGGAGCACATGAGCGGCAGGGCAGGCGACTCCCGTTCGGTGGGCGACACATGCCTCTTGGAGAGGAAGATGACTCAGAGGTCACCGGGCAGGGGACACTGATGTCACCAGCCCGTGCTCCCTGTGACAGCTCAGCCTGGTTGGGCAGAGGCTGGGGAGAGGTGAGAGAGGTTTTGTTCCAGGACGAGGTTAGGCTGCATGGCTGGCTGGTGACCCTGCCTACCATTCCCACATCAAAGTTCCTGTGCAGACACAAAGGGCTGCTCCACACAGGGAAAAAAAATCACATTTTATATATAAACTTTAATATCCCACTGTCATATGCTGGGGGTACACCTGGCGGAAGGGCTACCCTGGGCAAGGAGAAGGGTGTCTCCACCCAGCTCCTCTTACACCACTTGGGAATTTAAACTGGGAGAAGGGATCTTCTCTCTGTGTAAGGGGACAGCGGCAAGGCCACCCATGGGGAACATCCAAAAGGTCTTGGCTTTACTCCACCTCCATGCCACCTTGCTCACAGGGAAAAGGTCTGCTGGAGGATGGCCCCAACTCCCAGCTCTTCCCCACCATGCAAGGGCATTCTGAGCTATCATCCTCCTCCTCTGAAGCAGCAAGCAGCACCCTGGGGGGACCAGGGCACAAGATGGACCGTTGGCTTGAGCCAGGCTGGCAATCCGGAACAGCTCACGCTGCCGGGCAGCTGCCGGAGGAGGCAGCCTGCCGAACCGAGCGCTTCTCAGCTGCAATCCGCTCTTACACCCGTTTTTTTGACAAAGCAGCCCCTGGGGCTCCTGTTGTCTTTTTCCAGATTTGTCAAAGCTGCTGCCAGCCAGGAAAGCCCATCTCTCCGGCACAGCATGGAGGGCCAAGCCAGCCGGCTCTCCGGCACCCTGCCCTTTGCCCGTCCTCTCCCGGGCTGCCCAACGCCACCTGTACTACAGTCGCCTGGCTGTGCCTTGCCCCTCATCCTGCTGCAGCATCCTCCAGTGAGCACCCTCACTTTTCCCTCCGTCTGATGCTTTGCCCAGAGCTGGCAGATGTTGGTAGCTCTGGTGTGGGCATCACCACACGTGCCCATCCCTTCGCAGGCTTCACTGCCGTAGGCAGCAGCTTGCGGTGGCCGGAGCAGATATTTCAGAGTCAGGTTCCTGAGCACCTGTGAAAAGTCCTGAGACCAGGAGAGAAGGTGCCCAGAAGTCTCCTTAAATATTTCCTGGATTTTATACCGGTACTGTTGCCCTGGGCGTTTTGATTTTGGACATTCAATGCCTCAGGGTAGGCAACCTCCCTTTCTCCTCCTGGTCACTTGTGTTTCTCTTTGCGCGGGTGCCCTCCCATTCACCTGCAGGAAGGGAAGACCCCGTTTTGCAAAGAGGCACCCAAGGGCTCCGCTTTCTGCATGTGATTATCCTCCTCTTGACTTCCATGGAGGAACCCAAGGGGCCAACCGAGGAACAGCCTGCCAGGGAGGTCAGGATGTGTGAAACCAGGGCCAGAGCTATAGAGGCACCTTGACACACAAAATTTGTCTACCTGCTTTCCCGGGAATGGCTCTTTTACATGGAGTAATGCTAATGCTACTAGGAAGCTCCATTAGCACTCTGACTGGTCAAGGGGTACGATGATGCATCCCAGGCACATCCCACAGCCCCTCCAGCTGCTCCCTGTAATGAATTCATGAGAGAGCACTACAGCCAGTAGAGCTGGTAATGAACAGAGGGTTAGCCAAGGTTAACCGCTTGCATCCGCCGTTTGCATTACCAACCTTTTCCCTGCTGCTTTGTTCTGTGTGCTAAGGGAAGCTGATTTAAGAGGGCGGTTGCTGGCAATACTCCACTGCCTGGTTCCTGGTGAGAGGTGTCCCAGGCTGGGCTGCCAGGGGATAATCTGCTCAGAGGAGATGGTCCGCTCAGGTCCGAAGCAGGGAGAAGTGCAGTGTCTGGGTCTGGGGTACGCAAGGCCAGAAGGACAATGGGCACTCAGAGAGGTCCCAGAGGTCCCAGCTATCTCCCGCCTCTGACACCTACCGATCCACCCCAAAACCTCTCCCGGGAAGGCCGGCGTACGTGGCCAGCAGCAGCCACCACGACCACAACACATCCTTCATGTCCACCTGCCTCCGACGTCTGCAACAGCTAGCTGGGGACAGAGGTGGCCCGGCAGGTCCCTTAGGGCTCAGGTAGTGGGGACTAACATCTACTCTGTCCCGATAACCCAGATACAGCCGTATCCCCTCCCCCTGCCTTCCCGTCCTTTGTCTGAGTGGCAAGAGGGAGGGAGGGCTGCCAACAGCTCACCACAACCCAGATTCTAGCAAGGAAAGGCTACTGAACCCCCAGATAACACACGGACAGCCTCGCCGTGGCTCTCTTCCCGTGCAGCACAAGTCCATCCCGCTCTGTCGGGGGGCACTGATCCACACGCACCTCTTACCCCAGCCCCTTCCACCCACGTGGCCCCGGGCCCACAGCCCCACTCTCTGCAGACATGGGATGGGGAGGAGGGATGGGTTTGGAGCCTGAAGGCGCTGGCAGGAGCAGGCCCTCGGCAGGTGATGCCAGACCCGTAGGAAGGAAAGCAAGAGGCTGCTTCGGTAGCACAGCCTGTGTGGGGTTTGCAGGCATCAGGATCTTTGCCTCAGATCTGCAGCGGTGCTGGACTGAGCAATCCCTTTCCCCTCCGCTTCCATGATGACCCCAGGGCATTTCTCCCAGCTGTGCAAGGCGAGGGCCCAGCCATTCCAGATGTGCTGCCTGACCCCAGGGTGCAGAACAGAGCCCTTCTCCTTGCCAGATCTTTTTGCCCTGATGGAGGATCACCGGGCATTTCAGGGAAACTCATCCCAGCCCTTTCGGCTGCTGCAGCCTTCCCGGCAGCAGCCTTCCTCACCCTCAGCTTGGGATCAGCCAGGGCTGTAGTGAAATCTAGGGCAGCCTGTGCCAAAGGCTCTCTGGGACGCAGAAGCTGGAGGTGAAGGGGCTGTGCAGGTCCCCAGCCCAGCCCGTACCCCAAACCCCGGCTGTACCACAAGGCAGGAGGATGCTGTGCAACCTCGGATCGGGGTACCCGTGCCACCCCCTGCCCACCCCTGGCTCAGATGTGCAGGGAGCAGCACAGGATGTCCCTGCTGCCCCCGCAGCGACTGTCACTGGAGAGGGACAAGCCAGCCACCGAGCAGCCTGAGGGCTTTCCCCAGCTCTGGAACAGCTCGGATTATCCCTCTCTTTCAGAGCAGCCCCTGGCGCCAGCTACTCCCCATCCGCAACCAGCCCCGCTCGCTCTCCTTCATGCCAGACTGCTGCCACCGAAAGGATGAAAAGGAGGAAAGACAAAGGCAGGACCGATATTCCCCGCCGCCCTTGGACGATATGCCTTCCCTGTGGCCGGAGACGGGCAGCGTGGGGGCACCCAAAGCGCCCCCGCGCCCCCCCCCCGGCATCACCCAGCCCTGCCAAGCCCAGAGCATCCTACCTTTGAACATGAAGCTTCCTTTGTCTCTGAATCCTCTCCCGAGGGGGTGGGTTTTCCCCCACTTTTACGGCCTGATGTGGTGTGGTGGGCTACGAGGATCCTTTTTTATCCCTCTCTCTCTTCCCTGTGTCCTTTTCTCCCCCCTCTCTCCTTCCCTTCCTTCTCCAGTGGCTATTTCAGCAGAGCGGGGATGCTGGTGCTGCTCCTGCTGCCATCGTCATGTGACCTGAATATTAAACATCGCCGCAAAATCTCCCCCCGCGCACCCTCCCCCGGCTCCAT